ATTGCAGCAAACCTTTGCTATGTCTAAACACTTAGACAATATACAAACCAATTCATGACAGTCTAACCTCATAAATTACTTCCTAAGTATGATCGACTGTGGATAATTTGAACAATCTAATTATTCTGAAAGTAAAACATGCAAAAGTGAAACAATAGTAAATAATCGACACAAGATAGTAAACTTTACTCATAAATAAATCTCCATTACTTAATCATCAAATGTCAATTACATTTATCTACTACAAGTTTCTAAATATCTATCTAATCACTAAAACTAATATTGTCCCTCATACCAATGCTCATCACATGTTGAACGTGCTTAACCCTGCTCAGACCCTTTGTGAGGGGATCTGTAGGGGTCTCTTCTGATGATATTCTCTTAACCACAAGGAGTCCTTCTTCTACCCGATGTATGATGAAGTGGTATTTTCCGTCAATGTGTCTGGATCACCACGATCCCTTGGTTCCTTAGTTAAGGCAACCACTCATTCATTACCACAGAAAATCTCCATGGGCTCCTTTATGGCTGGTACAACTTCAAGGTCTCCGATGAAGTTCTTTAACCATATCGCCTCCTTGAACGCTTCGCTCACTGCTATGTACTCTGATTCACACATTGAATCAACCACCGTCTCCTACTTGGAACTTTTCCAAGTAGCTGCTCCTCCATTTATGGTAAACACCCAGCCCGATTGAGAGGGAAAGTTATATGTGTCGGTCTGAAAACTGCCATCACTATACCATGTCACTCTCAAGTCATCACTCCCACTAAGTATAAGAACCCAGTCCTTAGTCCTTCGCAGGTACTTAAGAATGTTCTTCACTACTATCCAATGAGCTCTACCTGGGTTCCTTTGATATCGACTAACCATGCTCAACACAAAAGCCACATCAGGGCGAGTACATGTCATAGCGTACATGATCAAGCCAATGGCGAAAGCATATGACACTCAACTCATTTCCGCTATCTCGGCATCGGTACTCGTACTCTGAGTCTTACTCGGCTGGGTATTACGCTGGATTGGCAGTTCCCCTTTCTTGGAATTCTCCATGCTAAAACATTTCAACACCTTGTCCAAGTAAGTACTCTGACTAAGTTATATTAGTCTTCTACCCATATTTCTCAAAATCCTTATCCCTATAATATAAGCAACTTCCTCTAGGTCCTTCATAGCAAAACATTTCCCAAGCCAGGACTTAACCTCCTGCAAAGTCGGGATGTCGTTTCCTATGAGTAGTATGTCATCAACATACAAAACTACAAAGCTAACTATACTCCCACTAGCCTTGACATACACACATGACTCATCCTTACTTCTAGAGAAACCAAACTCTTTGACTTTATTGTCAAAGCAAAGATTCCATCAGCGAGACGCTTGCTTTAATCCATAAATGGATTTCTCAAGCTTGCATACTCTATTGGGGTATTTGGGATCCACAAAACTTTCTGGATGACACATGTGAACATCTTCAGCCAACTTCCATTAAGGAAAGCAGTTTTAACATCCATCTACCAAATTTCACAATCATGAAACGCAGCGATTGCCAACATAACCCTAATAGACTTGATATTGGCCACTAGTGAGAAAGTCTCATTATGGTCAACCCCCATGGTTTGAGTAAAGTTCTTCACAACCAGCCGTGCCTTGAACGTATGTACCTTACCATCCATGTTGGTCTTCTTCTTGAAGATCCATTTTCACCCAACTGTCTTTCGACCTATTACATTGTCAACCAAGTTCCAAAACTAATTGTCATACATGGACTGGATCTCGCTGTCCATTGCCTCTTTCCATTTTGCATACTAAGGGCCCGCCATGGCTTCCTTGTAGTTAGTAGGCTCATCCAAATTTACTAGTGTACTATCATTGATAAACATATCACCTTCTGTAGTAATATGAAAACCATAAAACTTCAGTGCCATCCTAACTCGAGAGGAACATCTTAAAGGTAATCACTCATCAATCGATTCAACAGGAATCTCTTCCTCAGGTTGAGCGTTAATGTTAGAGGTTCCTTCATCGCTTGACTCTTGAAGCTCTTCACTGTCCTCTTGGCATATGAGTTCTTTTTTGCGGAAAACCCCTCTCCTTGCTACGAAGACCACGTTGTCACTAGGTCTGTAGAAAAGATATTCAAAAGATTTATGTGGGTAGCCGATGAAAATACACCACTCACTTCGAGGTTCAAGCTAGTCGTGAGTCTCCCATCTTACAAAAGCTTCACAACCCCAAACCTTGATATGTGCCAACAAGGGAACATTCCCTATCCACATCTCGTAAGGTGTTTTGACAACCTTCTTATTTGTGACTAGATTAAGGATATGGGCAACAGTCTCTAAGGCATATCCCCAAAATGAGATAGGTAACGAAACTCGACTCATCATGGAACGAAACATGTCCAACAAGGTTCGATTGCGCCTCTCAGCCACACCATTGAGCTGCGGTGTTCTAGTCAGCGTTAATTGTGAAACAATTCCATATTCCTTAAGATAGTCGTGGAACTCGATACTATGATACTCACCACCCCTATCGGATTTTAGCATCTTTATCTTCCTGCCCAATTGATTCTTCACTTCTTGCTTAAACTCTTTGAACTTTTCAAAGGTTTCCAACTTGTGCTTGATTAAGTAGATATATCCATATCTGCTATAATCGTGGGTAAAAGTCACATAGAAGCGGTTAGCATCCCTTGTGGTGGATCTGAAGGTCCCACACACACATGTGTGTATAAGATCCAACAAACCCCCACCTCTTTCACAAAGTACTAGTGAAAGGTGATATAATCATCTTTACAAGTAAACAAGATTCGCACGTGTCATCTGACTTTAGGTCAAATGACTCCAGACTCCATCCTGTTGGAGTTAGGCTATGTGCTTCTTGTTGACATGTCCATGATGACAATGCCACAAACATGCTTTGTGTAAACCATTAGACGAATCGATATGCAACACATTATTTCATAAGTTATCTACAACCATCACAGTTTCATATGTACTATTACTAGGAAATGCTTCAAAATAAAAAAAATACCATTATAGAAAGTATTAATATAACCAACTTCATTGTTAAATGAAAATCTAAAACCTTGTCAATACAAACCATGAAAAGAAATAATATTCCTTGTCATCTCTGACGAGTAACAATAACTAAATATATAAGGCACCAAAATAGAATATTACCATAATTGGGCGTTATAACAAGCTCCAACTTAACAATGCTCCTTCATCAAGCTTCTTATTCTTCAAGGTTCACCAAATACCCACTAAAACACACACACAAGGATCAAATCTCTGTAAATAAGTTAGTGTTTCAAAATGAGGCTTAAAGGAGCAATGAAGGCTGGTAAAGAGAGAACCTTGGTGCATAAGATTGTTTAAATAGGGTCTAAACCCTAAAAATTAGGGTTTGAACCATGGCCACGTATGCCGAACGTACTAGACATACATCCAACATACTCATACAACCTCCAATTTTCATTTAATGCCATAAGGGACCAGTTTTGCAAACAAATTTCATCCCAAGGATCAAAATGTAAAATATCTGAATCGAGTGTTACAAACTAGCTTTTTAGTAGCTCTTTAAAATTTGACAAAATTGAAAAAATGGTCCCTGTGGTATGCAAAATTTTGGGGTTTTAGTCCAAACCACGAGTTTTTTGGAACCATAGTCCTTTTGGAGTGGTTTCTATGTGGTTTTGGTCCCTGACTTAACTCCCGTTAAGTTGGAACTGTTAAAGCCCCCTCACGTGCCTCACACGTGAGGGTAATTTCGTCATTTCATATGTCAGGGACCATTTTTGCATAAACGTTTTTTTTGGATTAATTAACATTTACCCCTCATTTACTTTCCCCAACACTCGTCAACTCCCCAACTCCCTCCTTCTTGCTTCTGCTCCATTGAACCTGCAAAAAACCCTCGTTGCTTATCCAAACAAGATAATCGACACTACACATATAAGGGCATACGTTTAATACGAAATGGTGTTCGTAATGTGGCATATCAGACCAAAACACGAAGTTGTTGATGTATCAACTGTATATGGTAAGCTGCTCTGTTTTCTTTAACTTTTATACTTTGCATTTTCTTATTGATTTAGAACAAAAAAATGCAAAATTTTAACTTTGTTAATATGTATAATTTTGATTTTTAGCTGGTGCACCCACATGGTTTAGTATTAAGCTTCATCACGGTGGGAAATTTACTAAATTACCTGATATAAAGTACATTGGAGGTGAAGTGCGTTATGTTGATTATCTGGACATTGATGAGTTTTCTGTGCATGAACTTGATGCCATAATGCTTGACCTAGGTTACCCAGACCCACGGAATTCTGAATTCGCTGATGAATCCCCAGTTATATACTACCATTTTAGGATACCCAATGGTGACTTTCAATTTGGTCTTAGAGCTTTAGGGAATGATCAGGATGTGATCAACCTTTCTAAATACATTGCACATAACAAGCTGATTGAGGTGTACACAGAGCATGGAAAGACAAATTTATTGACTTACTTCATGTCACCAAATGCAAAGGGTAAAGTTGTCATTGAGGAATTACCAGAAAATGATGATCAAGGGGCTGAAGTTGAGGGTCAAGTTCATGCAGATTCTCCAATGAAAAATGTGAACCATGGTAATGGTGAGCCTATTGGTGAGTTCATGTCTCTGATTCTTTTTGGGAGTAAGAATGATAGTTTCTCACCAGAGTATAGAAGGGGTAGGGTTGGGAATTCCAAAATAGGTGAAAGTTCTTGTAGCAAGAGGCTTAATTTAGATTATATTGATGAGGTTGTTCACATTTCAAAGGAAAAGAATGATGATCTGGATGGTTCAACTAATGTTCAGGAGGCAGCAACTTGTGTTCATATTGATGAGATGGATGGTGTTAGGGAGGCTGCAAATGTTGTTCAAGAGGCATCAACTTTTGATGAAGAAGGCTACAACACCCCCTGTTAATAATGCTGATGAACAATTGAATGAGTTATTTGATAACCTTATGGAAAATTTGATTGGGAGTGATGATGATAATGCAGAGTATGAAGGGGATGGAGAATCTGAAGAGGGTAATCAAGAGTATGAAGAGGATGATGAATCTCAAGAAAGTGATCCAAATTTTGAAGAGTATGATGAATCTGAAAATAGTGATCCAGAGTATGAAGAAGATGAGAGACAAATAGAAGAGGAAGATCATATGGATGACATAATGGATGTTGACAACAATATACAGGATGTGGATGTGGACATTGGAGACTTCACTCTCAATGTTGAAAGTGATGTGGAAGGTTCTTGTATAAATGTTGTTCATGGGCATGAACCTGAAGATATGGAAGTGATTAACAATGAGGAATTTGAATCTTTGGATGAAGGATCCGACCAAGACAGAGAGAGAAGAGCTCTTATCAAGAATTTGAGAAAAAAAGGTGCAGTCTTGGGGTAGTACATAAACAATCTTTTTCAGTTGGAGATAAATTTAATAGTAAAAAAGAATTAAAGGAGGCAATTGATCTGCATGCACTAGAATCAAGAAGGAATCTTTTCTTTAAAAAAATGACAATGTAAGGCTTAGGGCACAGTGTAGAGGTGTTGTACCTGTCACCAATAAAGGCCAAGTGGGTAGTCAAGCTACCACTTCAAAAAGAAAGGGTAAAGAATTAAAGACACAAAAAGTAACATGTGGTTGGTACATTCATGCATCTAGGTCAAATCCTGAATCCGACTGGTTTATAAGGACCTTAAACCAAACTCACACATGTTTGCAAACAAGGAAACTCAGGGCTTGTACTGCTTCTTTAATCAGCAAGAAAATCTTTGATCAAGTTGAGGCGAATCCAGATATACCTTTGAGAGCCATACAAGATCACTTTCAAAAGACCTACCAAGTGGGTGTTAGTATGGACAAGGTGTTCAGGGCAAAGGATAAGGCAAGAAAGCATATAACTGGTGACTACACAAAGCAGTATGAACTGTTGAGGGACTATGTTCTCGAACTTCAAGCCACCAACCCAGACACCACAGTGAAAATAGATGTATGTTCTGAGCCTAACCCTGATTCCCCAACTAGGCAGTTTAGAAGAATTTATGTGTGCTTGGGTCCACTGAAAAAAGGGTTCAAGGCATGCCTTAGGGACTTATTAGGTTTTGATGGTGCCTTCATGAAAGGACCATTCCCTGGGCAAGTCCTTTCAGCAGTTGGTCTTGATTCCAATAATGGAATTTACCCATTAGCATATGGGATTGTTGAGTCTGAAAACACAGAAAGCTGGAAATGGTTTTTAGATAACCTTGGGGATGACTTGGACCTTGGAAGAAACTCAAATTTTACTTTCATAAGTGACAGGCAAAAGGTAAAGTTGGAAGTAGTTTTTATACATTTGGTCATTTAAAGTGTGGTTGTAAGTTAATTCTAATGATTGACAATTAATTTTTGCAGGGTTTACATACTGCAGTTGAGCAAATTTTTCCCAATGCTGAGCATAGATATTGTATCAGACATATTCATGACAATATGAGGAAAAGATGGAGGCAAACAGAGTACAGGGACCACTTATGGAGGTGTGCATCAGCTACCACCATTCCTGAGTTTGAACATTTGATGAAGGAGTTTAGTCAGTATGATAAGGAGGCATGTGAATGGTTGAAGCAAATTCCTCCTAAACATTGGGCAAGGAGTCATTTTTCAGGTAAATCTATATATTCCAATTTGGTCCTTATGTCTTTCACTTAGTGAACTGTTTTACTTGTATGTGAATTGTATTAAATGTTTTTTAATTGTAATTTACACACAGGAAGAGCAGTTTCTGATGTGTTGATATCAAACATGTGTGAAGTGTTTAATGGGAAGATAGAGAAAGGAAGGGATAAACCTGTCATTGGATGTTTAGAATTCATAAGGGAGTATCTAATGAAGAGGATATGCAATGTCATGAAGGAAATGAAAAAGGCTAAAGGTCCACTAACACCCACAGCAACAGACATCCTAGCTGCAAGAAAAACAGTTGCTTCACAATACATTGCTAGGTGGAATGGGGGAGACAAGTATCAAGTCACAGGAGCTTTGCAGGATCAACATGTGGTTGATGTTAGGAACAAAACATGCACTTGCAGAAAATGGGAATTAATTGGAATTCCATGCAGACATGCAATTGCAACTCTGAATGAGATGAGTAAAGACCCAGAGGCTGAGCTTGACATTTACAAATGGGTTCACAAGGTGTATTTTCTAGAGACATGGAAAAAGGCTTATTCTTTTAAGGTGGAGCCAATTAAGGGTAGATCCATGTGGCCCAAAAGTGAATGTCCCACAAAGCTAATCCCTCCTCCACATCGCACTCAGGTGGGAAGGCCTAAGAAAAAGAGAAGACAAAGTGAGGGTGAAAGGTTAAGCAAAAAGCAGAAGGCAAGTCAAGGTGATGGAGTGAATGCTGCACAAGAAGGAGGTTCCCAAAAACCAACAAATGATGGAGTGCAGAAGCTATCAAGGAAGCATATCCAAGAAGTAATGTGTCATGCATTCATGGAGTTTTCTGTGATTTTGGTTGGTTATGAAAACTTGGTTGTTATGTTTACAATATTTTGTTGAAAATTTTTGGTTGGTTGTTATGAAAACTTGGTTGTTATCTTAGGTATGGTAATGTGTCCCTTTTGGTAATGTTTAGAATCTTTGGTTGTTATGTTTAGAAACTTTGGTTGTTATATTACAAATCTTAATGAAATGTGCATTTTGGTTATGTACAATTGGTTCTAATATATATATTTTGGTAACACATTCATACCATTTCTATTCATATGTTAATTCTTATACATTCATACCATTTTGGTAAAACATTCATTACACTTGCATCATAAAATTGTACATATATCATTATCATCATAAGTCACTACAAACTTGATCACATAAAATTACAACAAAATGACCAAAACACCCTTCAGAGTATACCCCTACACAAACCAAATATAAAAGAATACAATCACAAAGAAAAACCAACTTCCAAACATGTACATTTTCAGCTTCAAATTATCATCCTTCAATGCTCTGACATTTGCCACCAAAATGTTGTTCTTGCATATCAGTCCATTGCATTGATCCTGTAGCATGTTCATACCTCTAACCAACTCATTGCACCGTTCTTGCACTGAATTCAAATTTCTTAGCAGACCAGGCATGATGGCTTTAGACCTAGCACACGTTGGGGGATCAAACCACCCAATAAACCCACAAACGGAACCATTCATATGGCATGCAAAAAATCTCCTTCCTGGATTCAAAGGGGTCCAAGACTTTTTCACCACAACAACTTTTCCACAAAAACATAGCACCATTTTTGTTGTAGCAGAGCTCAAGAAGAAGAAGGGTAGAAGAAAAGAGACGTTGGGGAAGAAGATCGCAGGAAGTGGGAGTATTTAAAAGGAATTAATCCAAAAAAACGTTTATGCAAAAATGGTCCCTGACATATGAAATGATGAAATTACCCTCACGTGTGAGGCACGTGAGGGGGCTTAACAGTTCCAACTTAACGGGAGTTAAGTCCAGGGACCAAAACCACATAGAAACCACTCCAAAAGGACTATGGTTCCAAAAAACTCGTGGTTTGGACTAAAACCCCAAAATTTTGCATACCACAGGGACCATTTTTGCAATTTTGTCTTAAATTTTTTCCAAATATACTCTTGATTAATTATAAAATCATATAATTCTAAATACACTTTATGTAATTTTATATCTTCCGGTTAGCTTATCAACTAGTTTTTATCAATCACCATTTTTCATCAATTATCTTTTTCAACTAGGAGTTAGATTTTCAACTAATACGCCAAACATTGTCTAACTTTTAAAAAGCTTTTTATTAATTTTCCAAATATGTCATTAATTAACTATAAAATAAACACTAAATGAATTTTTATATCATTTTATATTTTTCAGCTTGCTTATCAGTTAGTTACCAAACATTATTTTTCATCAGTTAGTTTTTCAACTATCAATTAATATAACAATTAGTTTTTCAACAATCAACTAGTTTTTTAACTAATAATTGGCTTTTCAACGCATACACTAAACATAGTGTAAATGGTGTTTTTTTGTACAAATAAAGTAAATAAGACTTTTCGTTTTGTAATACCCAGACCAAACATATTTTCATATATTACAAGTATTTTGACATTCTAAAAAAACAATATTATATATGTATTTATTTTTGTTTATAAATTCTTATCATAAATGTTTATTATTATATTAGGTGAAGATTAATGAATTATAAAATCTGTTAGATATAGTTATTCCAAATAAAGACATTATACTTATTAAATATATATATATATATATATATATATATATATATATATATATATATATATATATAATCGAATAAGATCATTATTAAAGTTATTAAAAGTATGTATATTATTTATTTATTTTAAAGGACATTTAAGTCAATTTATTAAAATATAGAAGACTCTTTTGTTGAACGTAAGTTGAAATAGTTTTTGAATTTTAACTTTTTTGTTTAACCAAAAAGTTAAAAGCTACGAGTAATGCAAATTCTTTTATTTTTTATTAAAAGCTAAAAGTTAGAAACTCGTAAAAAGTTGTGTGTCATATTTATTTGTGGTTAAGAGTAGTTAAGCATGTGGCTTATGCTATATTTATTTTATGCATTGTATTGTTGGTAATTAAGGACAGAGCCACTTGAGCGCGTGAGTAAGCCCATGCCAACCCTTAAATTCTTAACATTTTTTCATTAGGTTAGGACCACCCTCTTTAAATTAGTCGGAAACTCAAATCGCATTTCGCTTAAATAAGAAGGAATAGCGTGCACATAACACCGTCATTTCTAGTCCTCATAATCGAAGTTGGCAACTAGAGTGGGATAGCAGTGCAACAAGCAACATGTTATTGTATGTTAAACTTCTTTGTTTCTAATTTGTTAATAAAAATTTGGGAACGAGAGTGGGATAGTAAGTGCTTATTTGTTTTTGATAAACTTTCACTTTGATTTTTAATAAGAAATTTGGTGTGTTCTTTCATATTTAGGCCACTTTACTTGTATTTGTGCTCTTTAATTGATGGATATACTTTTAAATTCTACTGCATAAAAGATCATGAATCAAAGGAAAACATTGTGATAGAGTGATATATACTATCAACATTTTTTGCTTGTAAGCATTTTATTATTTGTGATAATTTGATGATTGATTTGTTGACTTGCTTATGTAGTATTCTATCTTAATCCCATTCCTTAGAAATCAGAATAATGGTTGATTTGCAGAAGTTTGATAACTTATAAGGAACACCATAAAAAATTGTTGGCTTCGTCTATATTGGTATGTATTAATTTAATTATTATTATATATTTTTTGGTATGGAAAATACACATAATTTAAATTTGACTTTTACAGATAGAAAGTTTTCGGGCGTAACTTGATACGAAATTCATGACAAATAATGTTTTTTTGGAACTTTCATAGATAAAAAATAAATACAATTTTATTAGAAGTTAAAATCATTTCCAAAATTTATTCACCCATAAATCTATTTGTTAAAATCCAAAATCTAAATTTTCGATATAAGACACTATTGTTCACATATAAATTCATTGGTTTTAACACTGTGAGCAATAACTACGATATTATTACTTTTATTTTTCTTAATATACCTATTAATAGGATACTTGAGGATGTGATCTTAAAATTATTATTATTATTACTATTCACCAGCCCAATAAAATCACATCGGCTCTTCCTCGGCTGGGCTATCTCCCCAGTCCACCTCTCAGCTGACTGCTGTCTGCCGCACCCAAACAAAACACCGGCGACCGGAGTAGCAGTTTTCTTCTCCGATTAAGGATCGCGGTAACTTTTACCCTCTCGCTCCAACTATTGCTCTTGTATTCGTTTCTCGATATAGGATAAAGACGTGTAATTGAAATATTACTTTGTATAAAGTTAGGGTTTTTTTCGTCACCTGTGTTACTCTGTATTTTGTGATTTATATATATGTAAAAGAATCTGTGTGCTATAATCGTTTACATGGCACCCCTCCAAAGAATGTAAAAGCTTTGATGCTGAATAAATGATTCGAGATTGAGGGTTCCTTTCGTTTTTGATATAAGTTGAAGATGCAGAATGTTGATTCTGCGTGTTGTGGTTACGCTCTAACTTTGCAAACGGACCTATTTGGTGATGATAGGGCGGGTTTTACTTCTAATGTTTGGTGCGTTTCATGCGCTTCTAGATGAATCTCGTTTTCATGGAATTTGGCCGATGGGTTCGCAGTTTTGGAATGTTTCACTTTAGGATAGAGGGCATGCGATTATAAAAGGGTTCCTATCTCATGTCACTGGTTTTCTGCAGTCACAGAGAACGTAATTGCCATCATAAAATGCTTTTAACTGATTTCTAAATGGTTGAAACAAAAGATAAGTTTCAGAAAGATAATTAAACTCATATCTTGAAGGCTGTGTACAAATTGTATATGTTTGTTCAAGTTAGAATCTGTTTCCAATCTTGACGCATTTTGGCAAACAGATAAAGATTTTGGGGGAAAAATGAGTTCTTTTTCAATTACAAGGAAAAAGACACCTTTTCAAAAGCACCGTGAAGAAGAAGAGGCAAAGAAAAAGGTAATATCTATCTACTCTAGGTGATTATATTTTGTATATTTAGTGAGTATTTTGATAGAGAACTCATTTGTTACTTGTTTATGTTATGCAGAGAGCTGAGGATGAAACAGCTCGTCTATATGCTGAGTTTCTGGAATCATTTCAAGGGGATGATGCACCTGGATTAAAAGCTTTTGTCAGAGGAGGAACAGTTAATGATGAGAAAGTGAAGCCTGATACAGGTCAGTTTGTTAATAGGACCTTGTGTGTACTTTTCAGTTTTGTTCTTCAACTTTTAAGTCATTTAGAATTCTTTTTTTTGTGCACATATATGGATAATGAATGATTTATATTCCATGGACACATTAATAAACAAATGGGCCTTTTTATTCATGCACGCATCGCAGGTGGAAATTCCAAAGATGTATCTGGTTCAAAGAAGGGGAGTAGGTAAATCAACACTTTTGATTCATATGTTACACTGCTCTTACCATAAGGCATTCTGAATATAGAAACAATAAGTGATGATGTCATCAAACTCTGCTTAAATCTTGTTTAGATTGCTACTAAAAAAGGCTAATAGGCTCTTGCTTATAATTCCAACACATTTTATGTATACAACCCGTAGTACTTTGCTTGTGTATAATCTTGATGGCTGCGTATGTGCATGCTCAATCGCTGATTTAGAAAATTGTAGGAAACAACTTGTAACACCTTGCTTCTACCAAAAAGTACACCAATTTTTTTTTCTTTATATACATATTTTCATGCAAAAAGAGTGTACAACTATTCACAATGAACTACTATTGTAAACTTGTAGTCACTCATGTCACAACATGAAAATCTACATGGCATATAACCCAGTCGACACAGGTCTTTAACCGTTTCTTTCATGCTCCTTCCTTGATTCACATCATCTCTAGAATCAACATTGTAACATCATCTACATATTAATTATGGGCAAAATATCTAAATCCATGTCCTCTTTACATTAGCATACACCTTAAGCCTAACACACTCTTGGCTTTATTCCAATACTTGACATAAGAAAGACATAAAATGGGATGATCCATTTTGTATGTTGTTACAACGCTACAATACAAGTTTACCAATATTATCCCATAGAAGTATTAAACATCTTTATATCAACAAACATTATAACAAGATACTTTCATAGTAGTGCCATTCATATAGTTTAAACTTTAAAATCATGATACTAAAGTGCTTTCCATATAGGTGCCAATGTGGCATTCATATAGTTTAGGCTTCCAAATTTTAATCACAATAGCTGTCAAATACCAAATACATTTCATTTCATTCTACATTTTGATGCTTCCTTAACATACACTTGCCATTTCATCCAATTTAAACAAATATTTCAATACGTCCCAACATAAACAATAACTTGCCATTTCATCCAATTTCATAGATTAGAGGTGAAGTCTTTCGGTTCCTTTAAATGTTTTTAACCTTGCTAATAAACAACATTTACATCATAATCACAAACATGCATATCAAGAACCATCTTCAATATTCAAATTTCATGAACCCTAAATCCCTAGTTCCAACTCATATTCATAAGATTTTACCTTCAAATTCTTGTTAGGAAAGTTAGAATCGTTTTGTAGGTTTGGCTTGTATATGCTCATATTTGATATAATGGAGACCACACAAAATAAAGCATATTCAAAGTGACAAGATTTACATAGATGTTGAAATATTTTAGTAAGTGGGACCACCACCTGTGAATGTGCTTCTACATCATGGGGGGAATTAGTTAGTAATTACCATTGGTAGACCAGGGTAAAATGGTCATTTTTTCTTGTGTGTTTTGAAGTATAGAACAGTTAATCTGGTAATCGGGGGTTGAACATTATGCATCAAAGTTTTGTATCTGCAGGTATGTTCCTTCTTTCATCCCCCCTCCTATGGCAACCAAGGGTAAAGATCATGAAAAACAGGTTAGTATCCCGATTAAAGCTTTCCATGTTGATTATCTTGTATTTGTAATTGTGGATTTATCTTCTTTTTAAGCTAATTTTAGAAAGTGGATTTCTACAGAAAGAGGAGGAGAGGTCAAAGGAGAAAGGGAAAGGGAAGCCTAGGAATATAGACTATTTTATGGAGGAGTTGAAACATGAACAAGAAATGAGAGAAAGACGAAACCAAGAACGTGAACAATGGCATGATGGGCGTCAAACTGCTACTTCAACTGTAAGACATGATTAATCATTGAATTTGAATCTGATTAGTTATGTGAATAAAAGGAAATGATCATATATGGTATTATAATAAATCACTTGTTGGGAAAATGGTCTCAAAGATTTCTAATCACTCAACCAATGAAAAATTAGTGGAGAAAATTAAACACAAGGGTAGTAGAATCCAACTATATGATGACAAATTATCACAATCACATGGACTAATCTCTCAAGTCATTCCTGATTACACCTACACTCACTCTTTAAAGGTTTAACTTTTTTACAATCTAAAACAAGTAACTGAGTGGGAATCTTGGAAACCAAAGCCTTGGACTCCTTTCTATAGGCATGAAGCCTGCTTTACATTTCTACATTCTACATCTGTTTAAACTTCATTAGCCTTGATTAAACTATTGTATTTTACATACTCAGCTATCTACTCGATTTGATGAATTGCCTGATGAATTTGATCCAAGTGGAAAGCTTGGATCATTTGATGATGGGGATCCTCAAACCACCAATCTTTATGTTGGGAATCTTTCACCTCAGGTGTGGTCATGTCATGAATCATGATGCTTTTAATTTACAAACGGAATCTTAACTTAACATTTTTTTCATTTCTATAATAATGAAATTAATCCAGGTAGATGAAAATTTTCTGTTGCGTACATTCGGAAGATTTGGACCTATTGCTAGTGTGAAGATCATGTGGCCAAGAACAGAAGAGGAACGCAAACGACAAAAAAACTGTGGTTTTGTGGCTTTTATGAATCGTGCAGATGGACAAGCTGCAAAAGATGAAATGCAAGGTTAAATAAATTAAACCCTTTTAGCTCTTGGTTTGTTTATGTTTAAACTTATATTAAGAAAATTAATGATGTTGTTTATTGTTGCAGGGGTGATTGTTTATGATTATGAATTGAATATTGGGTGGGGAAAATCGGTTTCCCTCCCTTCTCAATCACTCCCTGCTCCTCCTCCAGGACAAATGGCCATTAGGAGTAAAGAGGTATGCAATGTTTTTATATTTTATAAATTTAGTATTAGTGTAAAATGTAAATACATGTTTTAATGGTTGAAAACAGTATCTGATTAGAATATTGTTATTATTATTTTTGGTTTTGGTTTGCAGGGTGCCACTGTAATCTTGTCTGGTCCATCTGGTCCTCCTGTTACTTCTGTCCCAAGTCAGAATTCTGAGTTGGTAGGTTGACAGACTTTTATATAATCTTTGAGTCATTCTGTGTTTATGTATTTTGACATTTTTAACCTTGGTGCTTAGGTTCTTACTCCCAATGTGCCAGATATAACTGTTGTATTGCTTGAAGATATTCGTCTTCGAAAAGTAATTGATACAATGGCTCTTTATGTTCTTGATGGAGGTTGTGCTTTTGAGCAAGCTATAATGGAGAGGGTTCGTGGGAATCCTCTTTTTAGTTTCTTGTTTGAACTTGGCTCTAAGGAACATACTTACTATGTTTGGAGACTCTATTCCTTTGCTCAGGTACACATACTTTCCTTAATTACTTCTTATATCAAGCTTCCCAAGATATGAAATTACATCTCTAGAATTTGAAAGAAAAATTATGTTGAATGAAACTGAAAGAATAACTTTTGGCTTCACAAATGCAGGGTGATACTTTGCATAGGTGGCGAACTGAACCTTTCATTATGATAACTGGTAGTGGGAGGTAACGTATATTATTCATCTACACACATCATCTTTAATTAGTTTTTTTTTGTGGATAAAAATCATAACTTTATAAATAATATGCAGTAATTTTATACTTTTTGATTGTCTAGATGGGTACCTCCTGCTTTGCCAACAGCCAAGAGTCCAGAAAATGAGGAAACTGGAGCCACATTTGCTGCTGGAAGAAGCAGGGTACTATCTTTTTTCTATTATAGGCTTATAGCATTATTATTTCTATTTAAAAGATTTAAAATATAAAAAAATAAAAAAATCTTCTTTACAGCGCGTTGAGACTGAACGTACACTAACTGATGCACAAAGAGATGAATTTGAAGACATGCTTCGTGCCCTAACATTAGAAAGAATTCAAATCAAAGAAGCAATGGGTTTTGCATTAGATAATGCTGATGCTGCTGGAGAGGTAAGTAATCGTGCACCTATTTGACAGGGGTAAAATGGTCATTTTTATAAAACTGAATCAGTTGTATTGGTTGCAGATAGTTGAAGTTTTGACAGAGTCTTTGACTCTTAAAGAAACGCCAATTCCCACTAAAGTTGCAAGGCTTATGCTTGTGTCGGACATTCTTCACAATAGTAGTGCTCCTGTAAAGAATGCATCTGCTTACAGAACCAAATTTGAAGCAAATTTGCCTGATATACTTGAGAGCTTCAATGACTTGTATAGGGGTATCACTGGAAGAATCACTGCTGAGGCACTTAAGGTAGTGTTGTGTACAATGGAATGGCCCATTCCATTCCATTCCATTCCATTCCATTCATACTAACTTTCTCTTGTTTTCCAGGAACGAGTTTTGAAAGTTCTTCAAGTATGGGCGGACTGGTTCTTATTTTCCGATGCATACGTAAACGGTTTACGCGCCACATTTCTCAGATCCGGCAACTCCGGCGTTCTCCCATTCCATTCCATTTCCACTGACACCCCAGAAACCGAACACAACCCCAATTCCAACGATCTCGGAATCACCAATTCCGACGCAGCATTAGCCATAGGCAAAAGCGCCGCCACAAAAGAACTAATGAGCCTCCCTCTTTCCGAACTGGAAAGACGATGCCGCCACAATGGTTTATCCCTTATTGGCGGCCGAGAAGTGATGGTTGCACGGTTGCTTTATTTAGAAGAGTCGGAAAAACAAAGGGGTTATGAGATAAACGATAATTTGAAATACTCTAATGTACGGAATCCGAGAGAGAGTAATGTTGATTCCGGCCCTGTGGGGTTTTCAGGAAGGAATCATGAGGTTTTGTCGGAAGGGAGAGGTTCGGAATCGTTGATTCCGATTCCGATTCCACAGCCTGAGTTGAAAGCGTTTCCTAATAAAATGAAAAGTGATTCTGTATTACCTGTTTCTAAGTGGGCTAGAGATGATGATGAAAGTGATGATGAACATAAGAGAAGTACTAAAGATCTTGCTTTAGGTTATTCATCTTCTGGAAGTGAGAATACTGCTGGTGGTGGTGGCGGCGGCGGCAATGCTGAGGTGGTAGAGCCGCTAAGCAACGCTAACATTTTTTCCGATAGTGGGCTAAGTGAAGAGAAGAGGTTACTTTTATAGCATTGTACTTTGATTTAATATATATATATATATATATATATATATATATATATATATATATATATATATATATATATATATATATATATAATATTATTTTCTCACGGTTGCTTGTGTTGTATATACGTGCAGACAAAAGTTGAGACAAATTGAGGCTGCTTTGATTGAATATCGTGAAGTTTTAGAAGAAAGGGGAATGAAAAACAAAGAAGAAATTGAAAAGAAAGTTGCAGCTCATCAGAAACAGCTACAATATAAATACGGCTTAACAGATTCTAGTGAAGATGCATCAAAAAGTGAGTTTTTTAAATCCCTTTTTCTAAATTCAAGAAATAGCAACGTAAGTTGTGTATTATTAGTTTATTATAGCATCCTAATACAATTTTACTTTTTATGACAATAGGGTTATTATCATCTACAGACCGAAGGGGGGATAAAAGAGACAATTCGCGTGAATCTTCTAGAAAGCGTCACCGGAGTCACCGTGGCGGCAGTGAAAGCCCACCACCACCACCACCACCAAAGTCATCAAGTAGAGACAGGGAGAAAGAACGAGACTATGACAGAGATAAACGCAGAGATAGAGACAGGGATAACAGGAGAAGAATGAGCTGAGTCAAGAATGCATGATGATGATGATGATGATGATGATGATGATGATGATGTATGTGGTGTTTTGTATGGTGGGAGAAAAAGTATGGGGTGCATGTCATTTGGTCATGTGGTACAATTGAATGATGAATCTTATTTGGTGTATAAACGACATGGTTATTACTTTTTGTTTTGGAATGAGACTAATTGGTTTGGTTTATTGCACGTATGAGAAAATTCTTGTATTCGTGTTTTGAATTATGAAGCAACAATGGAAGGTGGAGTGTTACATGGTCAAATTCATTCAAGTGTATGGCAAATTTTATTAGGTCTTGATTCGTTTAAGCCTAGCTAACAATCTAGCAGGTTGGTTGCTGTGTACCTCATTTACTTCTTGTGTTTATGCTACCGTGTTTGTGTAAAGGTGTTAAAGTTTATGACATGTAAATCAATTGGATCTTAGCTCATTTGCATACCGTATCACATTATTCTGAAATAGATGAAATATAAGCATTTTTTATATATCACAAAAAGATATATTATATTGCTTTAAAAGGAATCATACTAAACTATGTTGCTTATATAGTCGCCATACCCAAACAATGTTACAAATGAGATACATTATTATAACGTATGTTATATTGCTCTGAAGGGAATCATAGTAAATATAATTTATAACACCATAAAATAAAACCAATCATAATTTTAGTTTTGTCTTGAAGATTAGATCATAATTATGGACAACATGTAACAAAAATTAGGGATTGATCCTAATTTTTTTTTGTTTTATTTTATTATTTATTTATCTATTTTAACTTTGCCTAAATCACCATCATGTTTGAAATGGATTGTTTCAATGTTTCGAAAGAACACTTGTTGCCACCGGGAAAAATGGGAAAAGAGAGAAGGGAATTTGTTTCCATGAGCAACCGTTTCCACGAGAGGAAAAAGGGAGTATGAGGGAACCTATAGGAGGAATGCAACAGTTGTACCTACTACACACCATTAGTACCAATGTCGATAAAATAATCAAGTACATTACAATGTTTAGTTGTGATGCTCTTGTTGAAAGAAATCTGTTATTCGATTATCAATCATCATGGATTCATTGCCCTCATCAATCACGGAGTTAATCATGCAACATACCTTTTGGTAGCCCCATAACCCCATCGCACAATCTTGGTCGGTACAATCACCCTTTTAGAATGTGAAGAACCATTGTACTTTAAGATTAGAGGTGGCAATCATGTCGTGTCGTGTCAGGTTTGTGTTGTGTCAAAACACTAAACGGGTTAAAAGTGTTTGACCATCACCTGATCCGTTTGATTAACATGTCGTGTGGTGTCGGCTCATTTATTTTCGTTTCGAGTCCGTGTCGGTTTCGTGTTATGGGCATACCTTGAAATATGTTGTGTCGTATGAAGTTTAAAACATTGAGCATGTTGAAAGAGTAGGAGTTGGGTAGACATAAAGGAAAAACTAATAGTTTCAAGGTGGAATAGATGAAAAGTTTAGATGACAAAATTGAAAGAGTAGGGCCGGGGGTGGGGGGTGGATGACAAGATCATGAGAATTAAAGAGTGGTTAAAGAGACTGTGTAATTTGGGAGAGAACGAAAAAACCGAAAATGAAGTTTTCATCTAGACGGTTAAGTCATTTCAACAAATGACACAACCCAAATGTTTTCTTTTACTTATTTTTTTGGTTTTGTTTATTTCTAGTTTATTTAAAGAATTCAAAAAACTTACATATAAATAATCAAGTTATTTTCGAGTTATATTTGAGTTGAAATTCTCAACACTAACCTTATCCATTTAATTTTTGTGTGATGTCATGTTAACTTGTTTATTTAAACGAGTTAAAATAACTTACTCAAACCTGTTTATTTCATGTTGAGTTCGTATCGTGTTAATTTTTGCCACATCTACTTTAGATGGGTTGCTTCACCATAGAACCAGAAGGACCGTACATCCCTACCACCCATAACTCATCTCGTTGGAATTTCACATCCAAGCATCAAAACTTACAACGACATTAACAACTAAAAGAAAGAAAAGTGACGATGAAGATGAGGAGAATAAACCGGTAGCAAGGTTGGTTTTATTGGGGGTGGGTTTAAGTGCTTTTTTTAAATGAAATTAAACAAAAATAAATATAAAAATGTTAAAAAAGTAATTAAGTATTTTATATATGACTCATGGACCAATCATTTAAGCTTTTGAAACTAAGACATCATAAACAAAAATTAGATTGAAATAGGTGATAATTCTAAAACCATAGAGACCATGTATTTAATGATGTTTTCTTTTTCTTTTTTAAATGAAATTAATTAAAAGTAAATATAAAAGAAATTATAAAAGGAAAATAAGTCATTTTATAATTTATATGGATCAAGGACTAATCATTTAAGATTTTTTTCTTTCTCTTTTAATACTGTTCTCTGCCTTTATTATATAATCTTTAATTATGTGTTTTTGTTTTTATTACATAATTTTTATTTTTATAAAATTTGTGTTTATCATTTATTTTTTAATTACTTATATTTTATTTATTTATTAAATTATATATTTTAAAATTAATTAATTAAAAAAATATAGTAAAATGAAAAATGATGATTTTTTAGGTTATAAAGAATAAAAAGAACATGAAGAGAAAAATTGAAAAGATAAAAGGTAAAAAATCAAAACGTGATAATGTGTACTCTTGAGTGCCTTTCATTACAGATGGATATCTCGTGTCCCCGTGCCTACTCACATTTTCTAAGCAAACAACATTAACTTCCATTGTAAACCCTTTCACCAAACTCCCTTTTAAACATCAAAACCATCTTTCCCACTCTCAAAATTCCATATAATCACAACTTTTTATTTTCTGTAATCATACATTCAACAATGGCATCCATGCCTTGCTCTTCAAATCTCACTTCCCCACTTTTCGATTTCTCTAAATCCAACCGAACCCATCAACCGTCTTGCCTCTCTCTTCCCTCTTGTTCTACAGTTACTTCCATTAAATCGTTGTTAGCGTCATCAAATTCAGGGTTTTTCCAACATGGGTTTGCTCTAAAAGCTGGGATTTCCTCTGGGGTTTCGTCGAATTCTCGATCTCAATTTGGGGTTTTTGCTGCAGCCACCACAGGAAAGAGTATCTATGATTTTACTGTAAAGGTACACTTAATTGCAGCCTTCTGTATTTGCTTAATGGACTGAGTCATGTAAAATTTGTGTTGATATATTGTTATGTGATGTAGGATATTGATCGAAAGGAGGTTCCTCTTTCCAAATACAAGGGAAAGGTTTTGTTAATCGTTAATGTTGCATCACAATGGTAGTTTCCGCTTCTATGATTCTCATAATATTACTGCAATCAAGGTGATTTATGCCTTTCTGACTTCAAATTGACGTGGGTTTTCAGTGGTTTGACGACATCAAACTACTCAGAGCTCTCTCAAATCTATAGCAAGTACAAAGATCAAGGTTAGCGATGAAACACGAGGCTAAAAATTCCATCCAACTTGTAATCCGGTCTACTATGGCTTTGTGTTTTTAACCTGTAAATCCTTCATGTAGGACTTGAAATCCTGGCATTTCCCTGCAATCAGTTTGGGTTCCAAGAACCTGGTTCAAATGATCAGATTAAACAATTTGCTTGCACAAGGTTCAAAGCAGAGTTCCCAATTTTTGATAAGGTTTGTTGGGGTTTTTTCTACTTATTCTCTATATGATTTGACTTTTCGAAGTCAAACAAAATCTGTTCCATTCCTACATTCCAACAAAAAATGTCATGGAATATAACTACTCATTCCAATACGCTGTCCACATTATTTTGTTTTGTTATTCCATTCCATTCCATCAAACCAAATAGTCATATTCTTATTCCGTTCCTGATTTCATCTTGGATCAAATTGATTAAGAAAAAAGACTAATATCTTATATGCCCTAGGTTGATGTAAATGGGCCATTCACAGCCCCAATTTATCAGTTTCTCAAATCAAGCACAGGAGGATTATTAGGCGATTTGGTGAAGTGGAATTTTGAGAAGTTTTTAGTAGATAAATCTGGAAAAGTCGTTGAAAGATACCTTCCTACTACTTCCCCTCTTCAGATTGAGGTACACAACACTTTCTGTTACAAATTATCAACTTTTGAGTTATCTTTGCGACAAAAAACAATGTTAATTTTCGCATTGTTATGTAGAAGGACATACAGAAGCTTGTTGCAGCATAATATGATTACATACTCACAATCATGGATACCAAGTCTTTATAGTTTTCGTGTAATATTTTGCATCTAACATCGTGTTATTTGTACCTTTATTGTTGTCATGAAGAACAAATAGTGTCTATATCGGAAATCCGTGGATTCATTATACTTGTATTTATCTAAATATATCTACAGTTAATGTACTTGTTATCATGTTATATATTTTTTTGTCCTACAACATATATGGATAGGGCTGTAAACGAACCAAACGAACACGAACAAGGTCTTGTTCATGTTCGTTTGTTTAAGTTAGCCGAACAACAAACGAACACGAACGGATAAACGAACGAGATTTTCTTGTTCATGTTCGTTCGTTTAACAAATTATTTTGTTCATGTTCATTCATTTATGTTCGTGAACATGCTAAACGAACATAAACGAACAAACATAAACGAAAAAAGATAAAAAAAAAAAAACACACACACACAGAATTGAACATATATGAACATAAACAAACATATATATATATATATATATATATATATATATATATATATATATATATATATATAACAATATAATAAAAAATAATTGAATATAGATGAATATAAATAAACTTAAACAAACGAACATAAACGAACGTAAATGAACATCATAAACGAACGTTCACGAACATAAATGAATGAATGGGACCATTGTTCATGTTCGTTCATTTAACTAAACGAACGATAATTTTTGTTCATGTTCATTCATTTATTAAATAAACGAACATAAACGAACTTCCCGCCGAACAGTTCACGAACGGTTCGCCGAACGTTCAGTTCATTTACAGCCCTATATATGGATACATGAGATACATCATGTTTTTATGAGTAGAGTGAAAGCATATATGGTCGTAGTGGCTTTTGAAGTGCTTGATGGCAATAACATTGAAAGAGGTAGTTTGTGCTCGACATGGGAAGTTATTTTTCATCACACCGAATGTGTGTTTATCTTGTATTTATAGGTATGTTACAACTTCTAAAACAATAAATTATCATAAAACAATACATTCTTTTGCAAGGAATATGGTGCTATGAACATCAGAAAGCAGCTGGGTCAAGAAAAAATGAGATACATCAAGCACGTCAAGAAAAAATTCATGTGTAACACCATAATCATAAAAAATGTTCTGTACAAAAGGGAATACCAAGACATATTGAGGCAACCAAATTGACGGCCAAGCAAACAAGAGCCTTTATAGCGGCTTTATAGCGCTGAGCATATACCAATACAACATAATAATAATAAGCCCTGCTAACATCCCCTATAGTGAGAACGGGAGGAGAATCTCGAACGTTTAAGCTGGATCTAAATTTGAGAAATAATGTAGAAGGTAGACTCTTCGTAAATATATCAGCATATTGAGACGAGGGAACATGAAGAACACGAACATGTCCAATAGCAACCTTGTCTCTCACAAAATGAACATCAATTTCTATGTGCTTGGTCCGTTGATGTTGTACTGGATTAGAGGATATGAATACCGCACTGACATTGTCACAATAAACAATAGTAGCCCGATGAGGAGAATAATGAAGCTCTAGTAGAAGATTACCAATCCAACATGTCTCTGCAACAACATTTGCTACACCCTGATATTTAGCTTCTGCACTAGATCGTGATGTTGTGTTCTGGCGTTTGGAAGGCTAGGAGATCATATTCTGCCCAAGAAAGACAATAACCTGTTGTTGAACGTCGAGTAACCGGGTAGCCACCCTAGTCAGCATCAGAGTAGGCAAGCAGATCACGACTGGGCGAGGAACATAGTTGAAGACCATGAGCTATAGTGCCATGAATATAGCGCAATATGCGCTTAAGAGTAGTAAAATGTGGTTCACGGGGATCATGCATGTAAAGACAAATCTGCTGAACTGCATATGTAATATCTGATCTTGTAAACGTAAGGTATTGAAGAGATCCTGCAATGCTACAATATAATGTGGGATCATCAACGGGAGACCAGACCCATCAAGTTTGGAGGATATATTTGTTGGAGTACGATTCGGTTTGTAGTTGAGCATAGAAGCACGTTCAAGAATTTCAGTGGCATATTTTTGTTGAGATAAAAATAGTCTAGTGGTGGACAGAACAACTGAAATACCCAAAAAATAGTGAAGATCACCAAGATCTGTCATGGAGAACTCAACACTCAACAAGGAAATAATGTAAGTTAGCAGCCGTGAAGAAGAGCCTGTAAGAACAATGGCATCCACGTATAATAAAATATATGCCATAGAATCGCCATATCTGTATATGAATAAGGATGAGTCACACTTGCTATGAACAAAACCAATTCGTGAGAGAAACATAGCAAACCGTTGAAACCAAGCTCGAGGAGCTTGTTTGAGGCTGTACAAGGATCTCTGTAAGAGACAAACATGATCAGGTCTGGAGGGATCCCGAAAACCTGGAGGTTGCTGCATATAGACAATTTCCTGTAAGTGGCCATGCAAAAACACATTTTCACATCAAGTTGGAAAATGGGCCAGTCATGTGTGATAGCAATGCCCAGAACCGTACGTATAGTGGTCGACTTAACCACTGGGCTAAAAGTCTCATCACAGTCGATACTGGGCCTTTGGCTTCGTCCATTAGCCACAAGCCGAGCTTTATAACAAGACAAGGAACCATCCACATTTAATTTCTTCTTAAACAACCAAATACAGTTTATAATGTTAGCCGCAGGTGGACGCAGAACAAGTACCCAAGTTTTGTTTGAGATGAGAGCAGTATATTCTTCCGTCATAGCATTAAGCTAGTTGGGATCATTAAATGTCTGTAAATAATTTTTAGGGACCGGAGAGATAGAGTCAACATGAAGATTGAGCTTTCGAATGGGTTTAACAATCCCCATTTTTGACTTAGTGATCATAGGGTGTTGAGATTGAATGTGAATTGTACCTGAAGGTACATCGGATGAAGAAGATGGAGAAGATGTATGTGGGCCGTTCGAGGAAGAACTGGATGAAGGTGAGCTCATTGGGCTGTTTTGCAATGAAGGCTCCGTAGAACTAGGCTGACCTGTAGATGTAGCCGGAGAAGGGTGAACTGATGAATGAAAATCATCGGTGGGAGAAGGAGTCTCAAGAGGATCTCCAACAGAATTATTGCGGAAGGACGTTGTGGAAAGCTCGACATTTTCAAGGAAAGAATATGATGGAGCGACATTAGGAGTCATAGAACTAAAAGGAAAAACCGTCTCATGAAAAACTAGATGACGAGAAATAATGATTTCATTTGTGTCAAGATTAAGACAACGATATCCTTTGTGGTTTGTTGGATAACCAAGGAAGATGCAAGGAGTGGACCAGGGTGATAGTTTGTGAGGAGAAACAATGTGAGGAAAATAGAGACATCCAAACACACGAAGATGATCATAGATTAGTTGAGTTTTGTGAAGTTTATGGAAGGGTGTGTCATGACCAATGGTGGAAGATGGAAGAATGTTTATAAGATGAGCGGACATATGAAGTGCTTCAACCCAAAAAGTGGTAGGAAGATGAGCATGAAACAAAAGAGCGTGAATTCCATTGTTGAGAGTACGAATCATACGTTCGGATTTACCATTTTGTTGATATGTGTAGGGGCAAGAGAAACGTATGATGATGCCATTTTGATCAAACAACCGTTGAAATTTATTGGTGTTGTATTCACCCCCATTATCACATTGAAGGGATTTGATATCATATTGGAATTGGTTTTTAACAAAAGCACGAAAAAGCACAAACTTATCAAACACTTCAGATTTAGAACGCAACGGATACACCCAAACATAATGAGAATAGTCATCAAGAAACAAAACATAGTATTTAATACCACTTGTACTCTCAAAAGGAGATGTCCAAACATCAGAATGCACAAGTTCAAAAGGAAAAGAGGAAACAAAATTAGACAAACTAAAAGGCAACCTTATGTGTTTGTCTTTTTGACAAGCATGACATAAACTAGAATCTTTATTGGAAGAACATGAAATAAAACCATTAGTAACAAGGGGTGAGTTGCATAATGCTTTGTACTTTTTGTTAAATGTGGTGTGTGTGTATATATATATATATATATATATATATATATATACACACACACACACATACACACTAGGCGAATGCCTGCGTGTTGCGCAGAAACACATATATAGTTGAACTTTTTATAAATATATGTTTTCTTTTTAAATATAAAAATAGAGTTGTTGTTAAATTTGATATAATAATTTTTATACTAAATTGATATAATATATTGATTATTTTAAATTATATGATATATATACATCTATTATAACTTCATAATCTCAATTGTTTGAATGACTTCTACCCGCGAGTTACACATGAATAAAATTAAATATAATGTATGGTTTAATGTTATTTATATTTGTTGTCATTATTAATTAATTTTTAAAAATTTATTTTCTTAATGTTTTAATACTATCATTATAATTATTTAAAACATCAAACATTATTTTTTGATTTTAAAGGTAACAATATAATCATTTATACACAGTTATTTTTAACTATTATTGTAAGTTATTTTAAGCTACTTATTTGAAAACTTTTAATGATTATAAAAATATTTTTAGGAAATATTTTAGTTAAATGAGATTACAATTTAGTTTTTGCATTTATCACTTTTAACTATTTACAAAATATTCTTAGTTTTTTTAGTGGTACTGAAATTTATATTTAAGTTGACATTGTAATGCGCAAAAACACCTATATAGTTGAAGTCTTTACAAATATATGTTTTTTTTAAAATATAACAATAACGTTGTTGTCAAATTTGATATAATAATTCGTATACTAAATTGATATAATATATTAATTATTTTGACTTATATGATAATATACACATTTATTATAACTTTATAATCTCAAGCGTTTGAATAACTTTTACCCAGGAGTTATACATGAATAAAATTAAATATACTTTATGATTTAATATTATTTATAGTTGTTATTGTTAACTAATTTTTTAAAATTTATTTGCATAATGTTTTAATTTCTATCATTATAGTTATTTAAAACATCAAACATTATTTTTTGATTTTAAAGGTAATAGTATAATCATTTATATATTTTTAACTATTGTAATTGTAAGTTATTTTAAGCTACTTATTTGGATACTTTTAACAATTATAAAAATATCTTTAGGAAATATTTTAGTTAAATTGAGATTACAATTTAGTTTTTGCATTTATCACTTTTAAC